CACACACACACACACACACACACATATATATATTACTTATTATTAATGTTCTTACAGTGCAGTGTACCAGTGAATACATAGAGCATGACAGAGCCAAAACCATCAGGATTAAGACCGCCATCGAAGATAGGCAGGCCTTGTTCCACCATGCCTCCTAGACCAGCGATTCCACCTTCTCCTTTGAGACCAGCAATCAGTGAGTCTTTAACAGAACTGTGTGACTTTGTTTTGTATTGCATGTGTATTGTATTATTTTGTTGTATATTGTCTCTGATATGAATTATCTATTTTTGTAGATCTATTTTTGTAGATATAATATTTATCAATATCTGACATTGATAGAGTGGAAAAGAGATAGGTATCTAGAAATACTGGTTTGATAGAAAAATAAGTCATCCATATTAATAAATGTACATTATATCCGTTTGTTTTTATATAATACTTTGTTTTTATTTGCTGTGAGATGATAGTACAATGTCTTTCTGACTAATTTTTATGCTGTTTTTAATTTTAGTTTCAATTTTTGGAGCACTTTCCAATGTTTTGTTCCTTGACAATTATATGAAAAAGCAATCCATTATCATTTGTCTTACACAATATGAATTGTAAAATTGATAAAAATTAATAGATAATTTAGATAGATAAATGAAATAAACAGACCATTATATTAATATTTTACAACTCAATTTTTTCGTATTTGAAAAGAAATTACATAATTAGTAAACATTGACGTTGACATATTAACAATTAATTTTCAATTTTTAAATATTTCTAAAATTGTATAGTGACTTGCAAGTTACCACTGTAATCCATTATTAATGTAACACCTTATCAGAAAGAGTGAGCGAAGAGCAATACTTTAAATATTTTATTATAAAAATCAGATTCTTGATATATAAACTTCTCACTTTTTTTTATTATAAAATTAAACTTGTTGATTAAGAATAAGTATAACGCTATGTTAATAGGGAAAAAAAAATAAGATTTAAATGATAAGTGAAAGATAAATGCTAAATAAAAACTAATATTGTGAATGACGTGCATTGTAATATTTATTTTTTTTTCTTTTACATGTGATACATCTTTCTCAGCAAATTATGCGTCGATTATTTGCAGATTTTGACTTAATTACAAGTTAGGACTAAAATCGTAATAAAGCACAATTATTGATTGATCAATCAGTTTTAACATTGGTGATATTAACAAGTATCTTAAAAATTTTTTAATAAATTTATTACGAAAAACTTGATAAAGATAAAAGTTAAATTAAAACTCAAAAAGATGTAGATGCACGAGTAAATGACGTTATAGAGAATTAATCTATTTATGCTGTAAAGTGTGCTACAACAGCGGAGTTTGAATTAAGGTACCTTGTACAATGTTATTACGACTGAAATGCATAGTGTTAATTTGTCTCGACGTTCACGCACACCGGGAGCACCATGCACACCCACGGATCGGTCGTGAACGAACGTGAACGAGCGTGAACGCGAGCGAGTCCGCGCGAGTTGCCCGCGCGAGTCGTTCCTCGACCATTCGCGACGACGCATTCCTCGCTCGAGAGAAAGAGAGAACTTGGTAAATATCATTTACAAGAATTCACGGGGATTAATGGCGAGTTGTGAGTGTGTTTGCTTTTCCGTCTTCTCAAAATAGAAAAATAGAAAAAGAAATATTTCCCTCTGCTTTGTGCATCGTTCAGTAGAGTAAATTGTAAGTGAGTCAAGCTGATCGTCAATATTGAAGACACGTCGAAGCGAATTGTTCATTAATCATTTACCCGTTTTATCGTCCAATGTCAATAATTATTTTAATTATTTGTATTGTGCTCCGTATTGGTTATTATTAGATTCGATTATTGTGATTTATTTGTTGCTGTCTTCTATCTGCGAATGCCGATCAGCTTGACTTGTCACGGGGATGAATCGCGAGTGATTTGTATTTTTAAATATTGAAAAGTATGTTTAAACGATAAACTACTCTTTTTCGAAAAGTGAAAGCCAGTAAAACTGGCACAACTAAAAACATCGTTAACCCTGGCAAAAAAATATTTTGTTCTATAGCTAATGATGGATTGTTAAAACTACATTTAGCTGATGTAATTAAACAAATTTGCTACATTGCAGAAAACTTTTTACTTTTACTATTGCTTTTACTTTTACTATCAGTAATTAGCTTTTACTATTAGTCAATATTAGTAACAATAGCAAATCTTTTCAATGTAATAGTAAATTATTATAAATTGTTTGATTACATCAGCTCTTTTCTTTCTCTAAATATGATTTTAACAATATTATCGCTGTAGCATAAAGTATTTTTTTTCTGTGAGTGTTATAATTGGCTAAAAATAAATTTTTTTATTTTTAACATGATATATGATATAATTTTTTTTTAGATTTTTTTAATGTATATACCAAAAAGTATATATATATATATATATATATATA